CATGCCCAACGCTTCCCCCCCAGCCACAATGGCTGGTTTTCCTCCCAGAGGGAGGTCTGCAGTGGGGCCGAAGGGGACTCCACTGCTCACCTCTGCCGTGCCAATGAGCCCGAGCTGGAAGGAGGCAAACAATGCTGGGTTTGTGGCTCAGAGAGGCAGAGCAGACGTGAGCACTATGAGCAGGTCTTGAAGCTGGGTAAAACCCAGTGCTGATGAATGCCCAATGCCCACAGTGAAGCATCCCAGCCCACAGCTCCCCCATCCCCCCGCCCCCGCCACCTGAAGGCACCCCTGGCACACCATGTCCTACCACCTGCCACCCCAAAACCGAGATGCTGGATGTGTCACAGCCTTGCTGAGTGCCTTGGTATAAGGACTGGCCTTGCAAACAGCTCTGCCAGCCCGTGCCCACTGCTTTTTTCATCAGCACTGGGGCTGCCTGCAAGGGTTTGCAGAGTGCTCAAACCATGGTCAGCACTGCCACCTTGATGGAGCACGCCAGGAGAGCTGCACAGCTTCCAGGGAGCCCTGCCTCAAGGAAATATTGACATGACAGCAATAATAAAGTCAGGAGGATGTATGCAGTAAAGCTGCAGGCTTAGCAGGATGCCCCACTGCTGAGGTGGCCACACATCGGGGTGAGAGCAGAGTCCCGTGGCCCCTCTGCCACCCTCTTTCCTAATTCTCAGGTTCCTCTAAAGCAGATAAAAGGCTGCACAGATCAAAGGACATGGTAAGCAGAGGGCTGGTGCAAAGGCATTCTGCTCAGAAAGACTGTCAGGCAAGAGAAAAAGCTGGAGAAATTCCAGGTAGTCACTGAGAAGGACACAGCAGCATCGCTGCAGAAGCAGAAGACAGAGCCAAGAGAGAAAAATGTGAAAAGCGGAACACATGCAAGTCTGCAATGAGGTGGGCTAAAACACAGAGTAGGTGGAACACTTGTCAAAGTCACAGATGCTGCTAGCAAAGCTCTCTCACGTCATTCGTGGCAGGAAAACCAGGGGAGCAGTGGGAGGTGGCATCTCCACCAGCCCACTCCTGCCTTTAAGCTGCTCAAATCCCAGGCAGGGTGCAGCACGGGGTGTGCAGCATTGTCTGGTGTTGTTTTGAGACCAGACAGCCGTATGACCGAGTTTCAGACTCAGACTCGGAGCTGAGTTTCCTGGAAATCATTCATTTCAGCTAGAGGGAGTGACTTGGGTGGCAGCAGCCCTGCCTGTTACAGTAAATCCCAAAGTCCGGCAGGCAGAGCCTTAGGGCTGGGTTTCCTGGACATACCCTTTCCAGTAAATCCCACACATTTCCCTAGGAAGAGTTTGGGGGTTGGATGTGCTGCAGCTACCAGTGCAGTGCTGCCAGTATAGAGCAGCCCTTGCCACTCACCAGGGGTGCAGGCACAGCCAGGACCCCGCACCCGCCTGTCCGAGGGCTGCCTTGGAGCCAGGGGGGTCCAAGACAACTTTTTTGGCTGCAGATGGCCCCCCAGCTTACCCTCCCATCAGACTCGCCTGGCACTGTGCAGAGCAGAGCCAGTGCTGACCTGCACTTGGTGTCAGATGATAACTTTGGGGTTGCACCATCCCATTTTGGCTGGAAAACGGGCTTTCCTGGGGCCCGTCTCTTCCTGGACTAAAGGGGTGAGAGTTTCACCCCACAGCCGCCACAGTGCTTTAGCCCAGCTTCCCCGGGACACATCCACAGACTGCACAAGGTTGGGTTTAAAGGGAAAAAAACTTTATATTTATTTGGATTTCAAGGACATTTTTGCACAGAGCTGATAACAGCCGTAATTGTAGTGCACACTGATGCTGCTGAGGGGTCCCTCAGTCTCCCAAGTCCAGCTGAAGTGACAGGCTTCTCCCTCCTCCTCTCAGTCCACCCGAGTGAAGACGTTGTGGCCAGTCCTGCAAGGAAGCAGAAGCCCATCGGTGCCTGGCCAGCAGAGAAGCAGGGGTCCCAGCCAGACTGGGTGTCCCATGGCTCACCTGGTGGCTTTCCAGTCACTGGGCAGGGAGTCGACCTTCTCCCGCAGCAGCCAGGCGGTCTGCAGGACCTCCTCCCCTCCGTCCCCAGCGAAGCACTGGCCCACGAAGACTGCTGTGGAGTCTAGGGGAGTGGTGGCTGTTAGCATCCCAGTGGGACCCCAGCTGGTTTTGGGCCAGTGGGTTTAATGCTCACAGAGCCCAGATGGGTCCCGATGGTTGCAGGGAAATGCTCTGCAGCAGAGATGCTGTCAAAGCAACTCGCTGCCACCTAGCCCGAACAGTGTTTCGGGAGGTGTCCTGCGGTGTGCAGACACCGTACAGAGTGGGGAGAGATCAGGGAAGGGCTGACAGGAGAGGGGACAGAGGGATTTGGGGGGGTGCTGGACCTCCCCTCCCCATCCCATCACCCCATCCAGGCACGACTGACACTGCAGCTACCAACCAGAAAACTTCCAGTTGACGGTGAAGCCGAAGGTGCACTGCCCATCCTCATCCAAGTGCTGGGAGCCAATGAGGGGGGATGGCTTGATGGGTTTCTGGGCACTTGACACGGCAGTGTGGTACTCGCCGGAGAAGTTGCCCTGGCTGTCGATGTCTGACACGTGCATCCTGGAGCCCAGCTCGTTCTCCCACCAGCCGGTCAGGTCACACTGGTGGGACACGAGCAGACGTGTCCAGGGGGACTGCTTATATGCAGCCCCCACCCCAGCTCCATGGACTGAGCCCCCTGCCTGTGCCCCCCTGATGCCCACAGGGTGCCGGCACTCACCTTGCTGTTCTTTGTGGTGTGTTTCTGCTTGCGACTTGGCCACCACTTGGTGTTGGTTGCCTTTCCCTCCTTCGAGCTGGCCTTTTCCCCACTGGGGATCTCGGCTGCCTGGCAGAGGAGCTTGGAAAAGAAAGACAAGACAAGGGCAAGCTATGGGCAGTGTCACAGCAGGGTGTCTCCAGAGCCACAGGAGTGCCCAGGCACTTGTTTTTAAGAGACATGATTCATAAAGTGGATGACATCTCAGCCATGTCAGGAGGGCCAAAAGCTTGGGTAAGCCAAGCAGAAGGGGAGAGGTGAAGAGACAGGATGGGAGCTAAAGGCAAGAGCTACAGACAGGTAGGAATATAGGCAGGACCCCTGCTTCAGCCCTTCCAGGTGAGATGTAGGACCCTGGGGCATGTCTGCCTGTACGTGCGGGGACGTGTGCTATGCTCGGCACCAGTGCCTGGAGTGGGGAACCCACTGGGACAGGCAGAGCCCTCAGGTTCACAGTGGGCTCCTGCACAGCCAAGGAGATGGCACAGCCAGAGCCCTGCAGCATTCCACCTGCAAGGCTCCGGCTCCAGCTCCGGGCACTGCCTGTCCTCTCCCACACCGCACATCCACCGGCAGGGGCAAGCCACCCCTGGGGCAGGGTCCCCAGGTTACCTCTGCACCCATTCCCCTGCATGTCCCCGTGGTGGGGGTCCCCCGGGGCCCAGGGAAGGGATCCTCATGCACATCCCTCCCCACGGACATGGACAACCCCAGAGCATCCCACCCCCCTCGGAGCACTTCCCTTGGCAGGAGCTCCCGTCACTTTCCCCCCTAGAGCAGGGATCTGATGCCTGTCAAAACAGCAGAACTGGTTCACCGCAAAAGCACTAGACCCTGTAAAACTGCCCATCAGAAATTTCCCTGCGTACTTCTGATATCCATGGCAAAAGATGTAGAGTGGTTGAACTTGCTCCTTTGCTACCTCTGTGGGTTACATTCCTTCCATTCATCTCATTTGGCAAAAAATATTCCAGGGATCATCAGTTGTTAAGCAGTGCTTCGAGTTGCACATATTTTGATCTTTACTCTGTTGAGTTGGTAGCCAACATGAATCAGAAAAAACCTGTTCTTTTCCCCACTGTGCCCTACCCAAGTGCCAAAAGAAATGGAGACAACGGGGGGGTGCAGAGAAGTGGGCAGTGGTGGTAGAGGGAACAAAAATTAAATGGAAGGTTGGCATAGCAATGGGGATGAGGATGGACAGGGGGATGGGGATGGAGGTGGACAGGGGGATGGGGATGAGGATGGACAGGGGGATGGGGATGGAGATGGGGAACGCGGTGGACACAGGGACAGGGATGGGGATCGACACAGGTCTGGGGATGTAAACAGGGCTGACTGGAGCTGCCCGCTGACATGTCCCAGCCTGGGGGTCCCTGGCCCAGGTCCCACTGTCCCCTGGCTAAGGGCTGTGCTTGGGCTTCACCCCTGCCCTGCAGGAGCCCCGGCACCCCAAACTGCCCTCTGGTCACGGGAAGGGGACAGAGAGTGGCGGGGGGCGGGGGCAGGG